TTTCATTTCAATAATATTATTAATTAGCTTCCGCGTATCTTTCTTCCGTCCTTTCGCTTTCTTGTCTTAGTTTCAAGCATACGTTGTTCGGGTTCGAGTCCCGAATTAACAGATAGGAGAAACGTACACCCTCCTACAGTGGTGACATCCCGACGAAGCGAAATATTGATAAATTGGACAACGAGTTTCAACGGATTACTTCGAATTCTACATATTTGCAACTTGTTAAAACCCATTAAGAGAACAAAGGATTTGGTGTGTGGCCCCACTTATAAGCGGTGAGCGATTTTTTAATTACTATGGCTGAAGGCGGTGAACGTAGTGAAGTAAAGGAAGAAGTATTTAGGGTTGGCGTGCGAATTCCTCCATTCTGGCCAGAAGAACCTGTTCTGTGGTTTGCCCAAATTGAGGGCCAGTTCGTTCTTTCCAAAATCAACCAAGATGAAACAAAATTTTATTATGTGATTGGCCACCTTGAACTAAGATATGCCTTAGAGATAAAAGATATTATAACTAGTCCACCAGCTACTAATAAATATAAGAAACTCAAATCGGAATTAATAAAGCGCCTTTCAGCTTCACAGGAAAAGCGTATACAAAAGCTACTGACTCATGAGGAGCTAGGTGATAGGAAACCGTCACAGTTCCTGCGGCACCTACAGGATTTGGCCGGATCTTCTGGTGCATCGGAGTTCGTTAAAACATTGTGGACAAATCGTTTGCCACATCATATACAAACAGTTATCGCCGTTCAAACTAATTTACCTTTAGATCAACTTGCAGAGATAGCTGACAGGGTATACGAAATCGCTCCAGCGGCACCTCAGGTAGCCAGTACTTCTGCCGCGCCCTCTCTTCCAACCACGCCTGCTGCAACGACGCCGTCGTACGGAGAAACATTGACGGAATTGACCAGGCAAGTAGCTTTGCTCACTACTCAAATGAACTCCAGACGTCGTCATTTTCCGCGCCCACGCTCACGCTCAAGGTCTAAACCGAGAAGGTATGACAACTCACATAATAAGTCAGGACCGAAACAACCACCACCAAATCACCCTCATTGTTTTTACCACTACACCTACGGAGCCGCAGCGAAGAAGTGCAAGGAGCCCTGCACCTTCAATTCGGAAAACTTCAGGGGCAGTCGCAAGTAGCGGCCAACGACTGTCTTTCCTCAACAGGCCGTCTTTTCATAGCGGATCGAACAACGAAGATGCAGTTCCTCGTGGACACAGGTTCCGACCTAAGCGTGTATCCTCGGTCAGCTGTTAGGAGGCCTTGTATTAAATCTAGGTACGACCTCTTGGCTGCCAACAACACTGTCATCCATACTTACGGGCCAGCGCAACTACACTTGGACTTCGGGCTTAGGAGAACCTTCACGTGGAGTTTCACAGTGGCCGATGTTTCGAAGCCCATCATAGGTGTTGATTTTTTAAGTCATTATAACTTACTCGTAGATTGTAGGAATCAACGCTTAATCGACAACACCACTACTTTATCTGTGTGCGGCACTTACCTGAGAGCACCAGAGGACATCGCGTCTGTCAAAGCTGTCACCGGAGAAACCGAATTCCACGAACTGCTTCGTAAGTACCCCGAGATAACTCGCCCGCCAGGTGTTAAGTTTGCATCAAAGCATAAAACACTACATTTTATTAAAACGACGCCTGGTCCACCCGTGTCTTGCAAGCCGCGTCGTCTGGACCCAACTCGCTTGCAAATAGCCAAAAAGGAGTTCGAAGACATGGTGGCAGGCGGTATAGCCAGGCGTTCTGAGAGCCCGTGGTCATCTGCTCTGCATCTGGTGAAGAAGAAGGACGATGGCTGGCGACCATGCGGTGACTACCGAGCCCTAAACTCCAGAACCATCCCTGACAGGTACCCAATACGCCATATTCATGATTTCTCTTACCAGCTCTCTGGATGTTCAGTTTTCTCCACTATCGACTTAGTGAAGGCATATAACCAAATCGCAGTGAATCCAGCAGATGTACCTAAAACAGCTATTACTACACCTTTTGGCTTGTACGATTTCCCCTTTATGACATTTGGACTAAGAAATGCTGCACAAACTTTCCAAAGGTTCATCGACGAGGCGCTCTCTGGACTTGACTTCTGCTATGGGTATATTGATGACATCCTGGTATTTTCATCATCTCTGGAAGAACATAAGAGTCACTTAAGTCAACTTTTCCAGCGTTTACGTGAGTATGGAGTACTCATCAACACATCTAAGTGCACCCTAGCCCAGCCAGCAGTAACATTCCTCGGCTACCACGTGTCTGCGGCAGGTACTAGACCCTTAAGTACCAAAGTACAGGTAATTCAGGAGTACAACGCGCCAAAGACAGTTAAAGAACTGCGACGATTCTTGGGTATGCTTAATTTTTACAGGCGATTTATTCCCAACGCAGCTCAGCTATAAGCCCCATTGAATGCCGTATTAGCAGGACCAAGAATAAAAGGCTCACACCCCGTGAATTTGACTCCGCAGCTACTACAAGCATTTGAAGACTGTAAGGATTCATTATCCCGGGCTGCACTACTAGCTCATCCTGATCTGTGCGCAGAGCTAGCGATAGTGACAGATGCATCTGATACTGCGCTTGGTGCTGTGTTACAGCAGCGTAGAGGTAAGGACTGGGAACCTCTTGCCTTTTTCTCCCATAAGCTTAGTCCTACCCAGAGGAAGTACAGCCCATACGATAGGGAGCTGTTAGCGATCTACGAGGCGATTAAATATTTTAGGCATATGGTTGAAGCTAGAACCTTTGTTGTCTACACCGATCATAAGCCTCTTACTTATGCTTTTCACATCAATAAAGAGAAATGCACGCCGAGACAGTTCAGGTACCTTGATTACATTGCTCAATTTACAACAGACTTGAAGTACTTACCAGGCACAGAGAACGTCGTTGCCGATGCCCTGTCGCGCGTCGAGGAGATGACTGCAGCAATTAATTACTCAGATCTTGCACGCACTCAGGAAAGTGATCCAGAACTGCAAAATCTACTACTTCATGGCTCCACCCTGCAACTTAAGAAGGTTAGTACTGCAGATAGCAACTTACCTATATACTGCGACGTTTCCGTACAGCCACCACGCCCGTATGTTACTCCACAGTACAGAAGACAAGTCTACGATTTGCTGCACAATCTACATCATCCAGGAAGTTCTGCTACAGTGCGACTGGTTACACAAAGATTTGTTTGGCCAGGAATCCGCAAAGATTGTAGAGAGTGGTCTAGGCAATGCTTACCATGCCAAAAGAGTAAAATTACTCGCCATACCATTTCCCCCCTCTCCACCTTCTCTACTCCTTCTGCGAGGTTCACTCACATACACCTCGACATCGTAGGGCCCTTAATTCCATCTTCTGATTTCAGATACTGCCTCACAGTCATTGATAGATATACTCGATGGCCTGAGGCGTATCCCCTCAAAGATATCACAGCGGAGACCTGCGCTGCTGCCCTGGTGTCTGGCTGGATCGCCAGATTCGGCTGTCCGGTGCGGGTGACTACAGACCGTGGACGCCAGTTCGAGAGCAACCTGTTCAGCGCCCTCACCAAACTGATTGGTGCAACGCACTTCCGTACTACTGCCTACCACCCAGCTGCAAATGGCATCGTCGAGCGTCTGCACCGGCAGATGAAGGCCGCCATTATGTGCCACACAACTACTTCGTGGACAGAAGCCCTTCCCTTAGTCCTCATGGGCATGCGGAGCTCATGGAAAGAAGACATAGATTCTACGCCTGCTGAACTTGTATATGGCGAGACTATTCGGTTACCAGGACAGTTCCTGTCGTCCAATGACGACTTCACGACTTCAGACATCACCCAGTATGCAACACGCCTGCGCTCGTACATGTCTCAAATTACGCCAAAGCCAACTTCATGGCACACAACATCACCATTTTATGTGCCACGAGACCTTTCCACCTGCTCACATGTGTTCCTGCGCCAAGACCACGTACGTCGTCCTCTAGAACCACCTTACGACGGTCCATTCAAAGTTATTGCAAGGCACCCCAAGTACTTCACCATAAACGTACGAGGGAAGCCGAACAAAGTGTCTATAGACAGGTTGAAACCAGCATACATAATGAAAGAAAGTTCACAAGAGAATTCATGCAAACCAGAAGAGAGGACACGAGAGACACTAAAAGAGAAGACAGACGAGAAGACAACTCGCAGCGGCCGAAGAGTGAAGTTTCCCGATTTTTATCGACCGTAGTTACGGTCTGGCCAGGGGGAATATGTGGCGCACATTCCATAAGCAAAACGCTATCGCTTTACAAGTGAGGCCACACCAACATCATACGATCAATGACGTCGGCGCCTGCACATCGTACGATGAGTGACGTCGGTGCCGCGCCGCACATTGCTTGTTTCACTTGCAAGCCAGCTGACCCCCGCCGGGCGGTCGCCCCACTCATGCACCTCATCGCTTCAAAACCCAGCACTGCGCGCCGAGCACCGGACACTCCGCTTGCTTCTCGCTTTGGAAACAGGCGCGCTTTCTAATTCTTATACTGCTTTGTACTTTTACGCTGTTCTTGTAAATTTTAATTTCGTTAAGTAAAGTTCTTTTGCTTTCATTTCAATAATATTATTAATAGCTTCCGCGTATCTTTCTTCCTTCCTTTCGCTTTCTTGTCTTAGTTTCAAGCATACGTTGTTCGGGTTCGAGTCCCGAATTAACAGATAGGAGAAACGTACACCCTCCTACAAGTCCATTGTGGAAAGTCGTGGTCGAGGAATAAAACAATGGAGAACATTCAAATTATACGAATTACGAAACGAGAGATCATTAGTATTTATGTAAATATTTCCGGGGTTCTCAGTTAATCTCACTCAGTGTTGGGAAATGAAAAAATTTCCATTAAAAAAAATCGTACATATTTTTCAGAAAAATGAAATGATTTCCGGAAATGTTTCCAATGTTTTTCCTTCTTCTTCTTCTTTTTGCTTAATGGCGCTACCCTTTAGATTTCGCCAGTATCAAGTTTTCCGCTTAGTAATTTTAAGGGCTTCTGTAGACTCTGCTATACAATGAGTTATAAAAATGAAAGAGTTAGAGAAATGAGTTATAAAAAAAGAGAGCACAATGTGATATAAAAAATCCTTTCTTATATAAAGTTGCAGAGCTGTTGAATTACCTGAAAGGGACGGAGAACAATATATATAGACAAATGTTAGTAGGTAAGTGTGTTAGGCAGGACAAACAAATTATAAATTTATGTTATTGCTGGTTATATAATCACAAAGGACATTGATGCAAGACGTATCCACAAGACTTAAAATCGTATTGAAATTTGTGAGTTTGGGAATGGTTGAGGGAAGGACATCGTACAAGGAGAATGGCTACTTGTTACAATTGAAGAAAATGTGATCCGGAGTTCCTTCGTCCAGCCCGCATTCGCAAAGCGAGCTGTCCCTTACCCTAATTTTAGCTAAGTGAACTGGGGTGCTCGAGTGGCCGAGCCTTAATCTACATATGGTGGAGGTGCAAGATTTGGATGCTTTATTAAATTTAAAAAACCAAGGTTTATTCGGGATGACATTTTGAATGTTCGCATAATGCTTTCCTTTCACTTTGGTACTCTCTTTCCATTCGACTTCCCATGTGGACATCATCTTTTGAGTTGCCAGTAAGGGCAGGTCATGAGAGAATACTTGAGAGTAAGTAGGACATCCAATTTCAGTGGCATCTTTTGCCGATATTTTTCCTCTAATTTTCCACATTTGACGTTGACACCTGTCAAGTGTCAACACTCAAAATTTGAAGCGCAGACTAAGGAGAAGATACGACAACGTATGTTGAAGTTACTGAACGAAAACGATGGAGCCAACAAGAGTTGGTGATGGTGTGGTTGTGGGAGGATGCACTTTAAAAGTCTGTTTTTTAAAATAAGCGTATAAGCACGCTTTTCATTTTAATTTTTGCTTACGCATTGGTCACTGGTCAGTCTATGCGCTTAAACGTTTTTCTAAACGACTTTTTAAGCGTCAAACTAAAAAAAGCTTTAAGCACGCTTTTTAAACGTACGTTTTAACTTTAAAAAAATAAGCAGTTTTTTCCATTTCAACGGCTAACAACTTCAAAAGTTAAACAACTTATGTTTTTGAACGCTTTTAAACGCCAATAAACATAATGTTAATATAATAATGTTATGTCATAAAAAAAATACTCGTTTTTTTTTTTTCAAAAAACTTATCTTAAAACCGTCAACGCAAAGTTGCAAGCTGTTTTTAACATAAAAGTCTATGCGCTTAAACATTTTCTAAACGATTTTGGTAGCTTCAAACTAAAAAGCGTTTAAAAAAGCACGCTTTTTTAAAAAAAAGAATAGCGTTTAAACGTTTAAAAAAATTAATTAGTTATTCCCATCTCTAATCGCCATTATACTACCACATTCACACATAATTATTCCCCGATATGAACATATAGTAAATATCAATATTAATAGCGCCACCTAGAAACTTTCTCACTTACTACTTGATGGAACTTTGTATTCCGCGCCGTAATGTTATGTAGCGCTCTTGCCAGGTGTCTTTACTAACACCCACAGGTCACTGCTGTCAGCTAACCAGCAGAGACTAAAAGTACTGTACCGATGAAACAAATCTACTTTAATTAGTAAATAAGAATCAATTTTAAAGTTTTATTTTTGATAAATAATGTATGAATCTATTGTTTAAAACTTTTGAATCTATTAAATATAATTATTTTGATTGAATTTATCATTTGGCGCTAGCGTTTTTCTATTTTTAATTGTTTAAATCCATTTACATTAATCGATTATAATTTCATCAATATTCTATTTTGTTTGTTAGCTCAATTAACTTATGATTTCTCATTTTCCAGATTGAGCATTAGGCTGATTTTGTACGTTTTGAAATAGAAAAATATAACCCTTTTTTTAAACCATACCTCAACTTATTAAATTTTGGCCCAGACTGCCCCGCCTCCATTACCTCTCGGAAAATTATTCAACAGTATCTCAGTCGCACACACACTCGCCATCATTCAAGTTAAATTATCAATTATGATGCGTATAGGATATAGTTACGTAATGTATCGTCTTTTATTATACATTCGAGGTGAACTTGAGTAAATATCGATATTAATTGCGCCACATAGCAAATTTCTCACGTACTACTTGATGGGGCTTGGTATACCGCTCCGTAGTATTAAATAGCGCTCTCGCCAGGTGTCATTACTAACATCCATTAAGCGAAACAGTACGCGGCGTGATGCAATGCTGTGATGCAATGATGCAATGTGATGCTAACATCACGCGTAATGTTAGCATCACGCGTAATGTTAGCATCACGCGTAATGTTAGCATCACGGAGTGATGTTAGCATCACACATTACCCGCGTGATGCATCGCTCGGAAACAGTACGCGCGTGATGCATTACCCGAAACATTACCCGCGTGATGTATTACTTGAAATAGTACACGTGATGCTAATATTACGCGTGATGCATCTAACACATGCAGTGTGACACGTTACGCACATTTGGTATCGCGCTAATTGTCAAAGGTAAAATCAAAACCTAAAACGTTGCCAATTGGTATCGCGCTAAATATTTTAACGTTTTAACCTCACATGTAACCTTAGGGGAACAGATTAACCTTTGAAAGGTTAACGTTTGTGTTATAGTTAATGGAGAGTAACTTTTCACTACGTTTATCGTATATTAAAGATGTTCCACGGTTACTTAAATGTTTCGGAAAGTATTTATGAGGTGGATGTGGCCTAAGAACGGGCTTCAAATAAAAGAAAAGCATAGAAAGACGATCATATTTAACATGTCTGAGGAGAAATTCCGCAAACGATATACCGTTTGTCTACGGAATTCATTTCAGGATTGGTGGAAGAACTATGCCTACATATTCCCGTTAAAGGACGATCTGTTGCATTGGGTGTGGAGACAAAGGTAAGGGTTAAGTGGAATCCGATAGTTCTCAGTTTTGCATAATAACCAAATTTCTATACTGTGTAAATCATTATTAATTTTGTTACAGATTTTAATAGCTCGTATTGTTTTTAACAACTGGGGCGTACGTGACCCCCCATTGGCAAGTGCTTGTCACCCTTTCCCAAGCCAGTGTCAGTAAGGCACAAGCGGTACCTGCTTAAAATAAACCAGTTATTATGAATAAATATGCAGCTTTCCTAAAAGGCATGCCGAAAGGGATGGTATTAAAAGGCGATGAGAAAATAAGCTTTACAATGTACATCATCTTTGTTAGTTCTAGTCTTATTTCCTCTTATTATTATCAAATAAAAATGACAGATATAGGTAAAATATGTATAGTTGTATAAAAATATATTAAAAGGTTACAATTTATCTATTTTAACACTTGACTTTATACAATATATCGTCCCCTTACAGTGAAGCCTCACATATGCATTTTCACAGTTTGTTTTTACTGATTTTTGTTGAATAAAAATTAATAATGTAATATAGTATCTAAAAGAGATATAATTTAAGTTATTAAAGTGCTAACTACACACATTATTGCATTTACTATACTTCACACCATATTTTTATCGTCATCCTGAAAAATTACATAGAAATCCCATATGAGGTATTCATTCTAAGATGACGATTTATACCTATTGTGATTGTAATATTATAAGATGAAGCGTTCCAATATTTCGTGCCTTTTCCTCGTGTTTCACTCGCGTTTCACTAGATGGCGCGACGGATGGCAGCCATCTTTGACTCGCGAACCCGGCGCCGACTGGTTCCTGTCAGATTCAGTACCCTTTCAAACATCGTGCAAGATAATCACTTCGCAATAAATTTAAATTAGTTTTCACGAAAGTGCACAAACTACCTCAATATTGTGAGAAATACAGGTTAGTGTTTCTTTAGAGCATTAACAAACAAATTATAACAGCCCGCTCTCCGGACGGCTGATTACTATGAAAACAATCCTTTTCTTTTATAATTAAACTGCCATGGGAGTTGCCTGATCGCAGCATTTTAATAGAAATGAGCGTAACAGAGGACACTCCACTATGGTTATCATGGCATCTTTTCAATGCGCTATTAGAACTCGCAAAGAGAAGCAATGTAGCCACGTGCCCAAACGCCGCCGGTCGGCTGCGCAGACGTCGTGACGGCTGCGCAGACGTCGTGTCGGCTGTTCATACATGGCAGCTGAATATGCAGCTTCTGACACTCTAGGGTCGTTGGACGGCTCAACCAGTAGA